AAAAAAAAAAAAAAAAAAGAAAAGAAATAAGAAGAAAGGCAACATAGGTCAAATAATCCAAAAGGCAAACAAACATAAACAACTAAATTCTCTCAAGTTGTCAGCTTGGCTTAAAAAATTTCAACTTAAGGCCATTACTGACCATGCTCCAAATACCTCCCATGGAGAAAGCCAAACTAAAAGCAACACCTAACCAACCCAAAGCCCAGTTAAAATACCAGTTAAAGCTATACCTAACTGGCTTCTTGATAAGAACCCACATGAAACAAGGGTAGGCAAAGGTGACTGGTAGAGTGAGCCCACCCAACAAGCCCGCAAGGCTCGACAAGAAAGGGAGGGCAACACCGATAAACAACGAGACGAACCCATAAAAGACTCTGAAGCCAGAGCGGACCCAGATGGAGCAGGGCCTGTTTGTGCGGCCCGTGTAGCTGGCCTCAAAGCTGTCAAAAACGGGCATCGAGTAGATCTGAAAGCTGCTCAGGCAGTTGAACACGACGAGAAGGAAAGGCATGGCTAGGAGCCCACGTGAAATGTCGTGGCTGTGAAATCCGAATAATGCGTTTAGAATTCCACCCGATGGCATCTGCATTTCAAAAGAAAAAAAAAAAAAGAGTAAATGTTCAAAGCCATTGAGAAGAAACTTTTAAGGAACATTTTACAATTACAACTTCATATTTTGCGAAATTAGGCCTAGGTATCTGTAATATTTTGACAAGTTAGAGGTACGTAAGTGCAAATTGTAGGAGCAAAAGTTGTTGATTTGTTAATATTTAGAAAAAAGATAAGGAATGCAATTTTAATAGTGTGTCTGATCCCAGCAACATCAGTTAGCTCCATTAACCAACAGGTGCGAAATGTAAGCTCGAGGGTGATATTTTTGAAATTATGATACGCCCAAAGAAATGGCATAAGATAGGAATCAAAATTATAACTAATAAATAGAATTTGGTTGATGAAGAAAGCAATTTTCCCACACTAAATAAAGAGAAACTTGCTTGAAGTATAATTTAGTGCTCCAAATTTGGAAACATATGTCCTCAAGTGGGAAAAGAGAAAAGTGCAAAAGTGTCATAAGTATTATTGCGAACAAAAACTTGACACATATAATAATTAGTACTGAAACAGACAGTCCCGCTCACCTGCCCACGGTGGGTAGTGCCCACTAGTTTGTTTTATATAAAAAACGTATTCTGAGAATACGTTTTTCAATTAAATTTAATTGAAAAACGTATTCTCAAAATACGTTTTTCATATAAAACAAACTAGTGGACACTGCCCACCGTGGGCAGGGGAATATATTTACTGAAACAGAATAAACTTCTTTCAAAAACTATCTCATAAAGCCATTAAAAAAGGAAACATGATAGCTTTTTTAGGTTTCCTAATTTTATCATTCTGTACCTTTAAATATGAGCATCGTGAGAGGAAAGACTGGCATGCATCAACTCTAGCAATAGTTTCATATATTCAAACCGTAGCAGGAAAAAAAAATATTTTTACCGATTATATGAAGACAGACGCAAAAGGAAAAAAATGTTAAGAAAGAGAGACTTACGAGGTTCCCATAAGCCCAATAACCGCCAATAGCAACTGGGAACAAGCACATAGCAATAAAGACATACGCAACCTTAGCTCCCCTCCACATTGGCACATGAGCCGGTTTCTTGAAAGTTGACGGCATGGTTGCCTAAAGTATTAATAGACAGCAATTCCATAATTGCAATATCATAAATGCATAATAGGGCAATTTCGCAGTCCATTTTTCTATAAAAATTGTTTTATAGCCATTAAAATATGTCGCGATATGCATTAAAATCAATTTCTTAGGTCCACGAAATGTACCCACCCCAATAAATAAACGTCAAGGTGAAATCAACAATACAACTAAAAAAACCGGCTACTTCTTTTGTTTTTATGTTCTGAATATGGCTAAAATACATTAGTCTGGCTAAAATACACTACAATGTTGATTAAATCAAGAGGGACTACTACAGACCTGAATTTCAAGAACCAAATTGTGGCCCCTGAATGCGAAAGCAATGATCCCCAGTGCATTCAAGAACGAAAAAATAGAAGCGGTTAGGGTAGGCATCGAGATTGGTTGGTACGAGACTGTGGGGGGCCGTGGCTGAGTGACAGAGAGCAACCAGACCATGGTGGAGTAAGTGATGGCGGTGACAGCCCCCACGAGAGAGAGGCCAGCAATGGAGTTAAGGTTTGGGAGCTGAGATAGGACGATACATAGGGACGTGAACACCAAATACCACTCAACTGTTGTTAGAGGATTTGAGGAGCAGAGTGGGCCACACACGATTTGGAAGAATAATTTCATGGTCTCACCACCAACAAGGATTAGAGCTGTTGCAGTCCCTGCAGATAGGTATACGGTAGGGAAAAGAGCAAGCCAGACACCTAGGCGCTCGCCTGAAATAAATATATTGATTTAATTATGTCGTGTAGGGAATATAACCAATATATAGTGGTATGAATGAGCATGAAGCTTCTATTTTGAGTTTCTAACATTTGCATTGTCTTCTTTCTTGTATTTCTATTGTTTGGACTATGGATAGTTACAACTGTGGAAGTAATGTGTGCTTGCTTACTTTCTACGAATTAATATAAATTGAGATGAGAATGTCTTTGGATGTGTCGAAATAAATGCTTCTTTGAAATAGTAGTCTCATGTACAACTTGTGCTCGACTATTACAGCAAACAAAGGGATGCGCGTATCACAAACAATGAGATATTTGGCACTAATATTTATAGTCTGGTTTTGCATCAACTCACTATTACGTGAAAGAAATTATCGTTTTTTTCCTTGTAAATAGATTATACACCCCCATTACAAATAATATTACACAACATAATGATTTTCTTAAGAGATATAGCCGGTCATATTTGTGTTTTATTTTTACTTCTGCTTTTGCCAATTCTGTTTGGTTTCCTATTTACTCTATTGTAAAAGCACTCACCAAACGCTGCCTGAGCGAGTTCCACGTATCTGTTATATCTCTTTCCTGGGACTGCCTCATGAAGCTGAACAAGTATCCATAAAGTGTATAATTGCCAGACATAAGCTATGATCAACGATATTATTCCCCAGCTCCTACTCCAAAAAGAAAAAAATAATAAATAAATAAATAAATTATTTGAAAAACTTTTTGTGAATTTATTACTGATGATGGCCACATCTACCTTCCAACAAATATATAAATGTATTGCAGGATTGATGTAAGTGATAAGCCATTCAATGTAAATGGACAAACACACTCCAGGTGTAGTTTAATGTGTTACTGCTTGTGGATCATACAGTCAAAAGATAAAACTGAAGCTCACCTAATTAACCCAAGTTAGAAATGCTGAGTTTTATAATTTATTGCTCATTAGCTACCCCAAAGAGATGCATCAAGGTGAGCACAGAGAAAATTCAGACATGTATTATTAAGTAACAGAGCGGGCAATCGAAATTAACCTTGGCAATTGTCATGCATAAACAAAGAATATTTGGGACTCAGAGGACCCAATTTCAATTTACTTTTACATTACATATTAGAAAAGTTTATAGAACACCATTTGCTTAAGGATATATGTTATTTTTTATTGATATCATGTTCATGATAGCATTTGGAGAAAGTGGGAAAAAGGAAACTGGAGGAGCCGAAAGAGAACTGCGAGGAGGGGCCATAAGCAAACAGGAATTAAGACAAAGAATCCAACATATTATTTATTTTTATTTTTTAACAAGAAAAAAGTCAAATTGCATAATGTTTTCTACAGACGAAAAATGTATTAAAATTAAAATCTAGCTAAAACTGTAACATATGAGGTCTAATCAACAAGGGATGATCTCTACTTCAGAAAAAATAGCACAAAATGATGCGAAAGCTACTGTAAAACCAGAAACGATAAAGCCTGAGTTCAGCATATCACAATATAAACAACACCTGGAAATAGGGACAGTCCAGTGAGCTAAAAAGTTCATGACAAAGATCACAAGTAAATTTTAACTGTAATCAACAGAGAAACAGACACAGACTACATAAAAGGCAATATGTTTTTCTTATTCCAAAAATAAAAGGAAAAAAAAAATAATAAGAATATTCCAATCATACCATCCGAGGAAAGAAAAGGCAACGGGCAGAACCAGCGCCTGAAACCCGACGCCGGCGTTGAGATTATGAAAGGCCGCGTAGTGCGCGTTCCCATTGCGAGACTCGGTGATGGGCAGCCAGGCGTCCTGCGGGTTCAGCCTGGTGAGGTGGCCCACCTCCTCCAGATAACCCTTCATGTTCACCAGCACCCTCTTCATGGGGGTCCCGATGGGGCTCAGGAACCGCGGGGAAATGAACGACGTCGGCGTCCAAGACCGTGCCGTTCCCGGCGGCACGTCCCTCCCACCGCCGCGCGGCGACCGCTGCCCAGACGGGGTCTGTATCTCCGGCGTGGAGGCGCGCGGCGTCGCCGGAATTGATATCAGCTCGGTCTCCGGCCTCTCCTCCATTGACATGCTGACGGCGCGCACGCCAAGTTACTGAAGAAATGTCCGAGAGGGGTTTTTCAAGTTGGGAGAGTGGGAGTGTGTGTGAAAAGGTGCTGAGCTGACCGCTTTGACTGAGGGGTGAGCACAGAGAACGGAGAGCGTGCAATGGGTTTGTGTGTGATCCTGACTGTTGGTTGTAATTGTCCCTCAGGCGCGAATCCCTATGGACTATAATAATAAGGGTGATGAAATGATGTACCTACTTTTGGCGCGTGGTTCTGTGCGTGGGAGCTGAGAATAAGTGGTGGTTCCCACTCCTGTTGGACAGTTGGAGCTCTGTTTTTTTCTCAAGTTCTCAAATTTTACTACTTTACCACTATAGTAAAGTGACAGATACAGTATGTCTGTATCTAATGGATGGAAATTTCATGCTATCTGAAACGTATAACATTTATGAAGAGTGCGCTCAACGATGTAAGAACACAATTAAACAATGTAAATAGCGGAAGCAATCAACCGAAGATATAAAAACTCTTTAGGAAAGCTTCTCATTTTTATTAAGAGCTCTTTCATTGATAAATCGTTTACACTTGTATATTTTGGACTTACACGACTCGAACTCTTTCTAGCCTAGCCACAACTACACACGATTCTACCAATTACTTCTCCGACCACGTCCCGTGGACTTAAAACACTCTCGATCCCTCGAGACTAACAACGTTCTGAAAAACAAAGGTGCTAAAACAAAAGAACAAAAATAATTCAAAAGACAGCTTCAGTGTTCAGACGTTGTAAGAACATCAGAACCCTGAACTGTGAATGGAAACTAAGAAATATCAAAAAGCTTGAACTACCAATTTGAAGCTTGATCGCCGTGAGTAACTAGAGTTTCAGCGGCCTTCAATTGATCTTCAATTAGGGTTTAAATAGCATCCTTAGGCGTCAGCTTCCACAACAAGTTCTTTCCTTCTTGCGAGATTTCCTTGATCTCCTTTCCAGGAATAGTGTAGTAACAAGGAAAGTAAATATCTCCATTGATATCTTCTCCATGCGTGCGCATCCCTTCCATCCAGCACCCAATAATTCGATCCTACAAGATATGTCCATAATAAGATCATGCAAATATAATGTAATTGAAAATAGAACCGTGCACTAATATATATATATATACATATATATATATATACATATATACACAAATATTAGAACTTTCCTTTTATATAATCCTTGTGTTTGTAGGAACTCATCTTCATGTATACTTATTTTTTGAATCAATGCAAAAAATATATCTGATATGGGATATTGTATACTAGACCGGTTTGCTAGGACAACCGGAGAAAATAGGTCGGACCGCCGGATTACCTGAGTAAAGAAAGGTCGAGTGACCTGGTCGAGAAAGACCAGGTGCTAGCAATAAAGGAACAGAGAGCAGACAACAGAGATTGGACGTGGTCGACTGATACGAACCACCATGAGTGGTCGGATAGGGCGTGGTCGCAGAGGATTGGTCGAATATCAGAGTACACGAGGGAATCTCCAGCACGTGAGAGGAAGGTGGCGCACTGTGAGTGGCTACATAGCTGCAACGGACTCTGACATTCTCTAACAAAGAGGACGCGTCGCCTGACGCCAAAGATAGTGGAGGCGCGCGGCTGTACGGACGAGCAGAAGACTGTTGGCCGAACTCGCCTTGCTCGCGCGTGCAGCTCAGGTAACTCGCCGTTATAAATAAGGGCGAGAATCCTCATTTTCGGTACAATCACATATACTCATATACTTTTTCATATACTCATATTGTCTCTCAAGATCTGACTTGAGCGTTGGAGGCTCTTCACCGGAAAACACCTCCGGTGTAGGAGTTTCGTGCAGGTTCCGCGTTCAACCGGCGAGAAGAGCAGGATTAAGGCGATTTCCAGCCCGTCAGGGTGCGAGACTTGTATTATTGGCGCCGTTTGTGGGACTCTTGTTCGAAAAGT